TCCCTAAGGAGTACTGATAGCTACACAGACACAGGTCAATAAAATTGAGAAACAGTGTAGGTCAGAAGGTCAACAACAGACGTGATCTAAACTAACAGTTACAATGATAAAATCATAAGTCAAAATAAGCGAAAGGGAGAAGTGCAAGAGGGAAAACAGATATACATACCAACTATCAGGTGAGAGAGAGACACAGGGCTGGGAAGAAGTGAAAAAAGACAGGTAAGAAAGATTCCCTAAAGAATACTGATAGCTAAACAGAGACAGGCCAAAAAAATCAAGAAACAGTATAAGTCAGAAGGTAAACGCCAAACGTAATCTAGACCAACAGTTTCAATGATAAAATCATAAGTCAAAATAAGCGATCAAACTAGAGTCACTTCTGTGATCTCTGATTCCAGCCTCTCCCTTTTGTTTTTCGTTGCAGCATAGGGGTGGGGCTTTGTCTCCTGTTTCACACTGTTTCCTTAGGAGCTGAGGTAAAGTTTGTTGCTAGGTGGGCGGGGCAATGGAAGTCTCTGCCTGGAGAATGGCGAGGCAGTTTAAGCAGATCTGTTTTTCTCCGCTTGTCTGGGTCCTCTGGCTTGGGGTCTCACGCTGAGTGCCTCATCCAGGGTGGACCCAGAGTTCCAGAGCTCCAAAGTTCCAAAGGGCACGTTGTAAATGACGAGAGTGGCGCTGGGACCCTACAGAGTACTTCAGCCAGTAATGGAACCGGTGTCTCTGAGGGGCGGGCACTCAGAGCCTCCCTGTGCGACCTGCGGTGCTGGGTGCCGGCCGGGGAGAGAGCTGGAGGGAGCAGGGACCCAAAACTTCCCGCACGCTGCAATACCTGGCCTTAGGAAATGAGGTAAAGTTTGTTGATAGGTGGGCAGGGCAATGGAATTCTCTGCCTGGAGAATGGCAAGGCAGTTTAAGCAGGTCTGTTTTTCTCCGCTTGTCTGGGTCCTCTGGTTTGGGGTCTCACGCTGAGTGCCTCAGCCAGGGTGGACCCGGAGTTCCAGAGCTCCAAAGTTCCAAAGGGCAGGCTCTAAACGGCAAGAGTGGCGCTGGGACCCTACAGAGTACTTCAGCCAGTAATGGAACCAGTGTCTCTGAGGGGCAGGCGCTCAGAGCCTCCCTGTGCCACCGGTGGTGCTGGGCCAGGGGAGAGAGCTGGAGGGAGCAGGGACCCAAAACTTCCCCGCACGCTGCAATACCTGGCCTTAGGGAATGAGGTAAAGTTTGTTGATAGGTGGGCAGGGCAATGGAAGTCTCTGCCTGGAGAATGGCAAGGCAGTTTAAGCAGGTCTGTTTTTCTCTGCTTGTCTGGGTCCTCTGGTTTGTGGTCTCACGCTGAGTGCCTCAGCCAGGGTGGACCCGGAGTTCCAGAGCTCCAAAGTTCCAAAGGGCAGGCTCTAAACAGCGAGAGTGGCGCTGGGACCCTACAGAGTACTTCAGCCAGAAATGGAACCAGCGTCTCTGAGGGGCGGGTGCCCAGAGCCTCCCTGTGTGACCGGCGGCTTGATGCCGGGTGCCCGGGCTTGGAGACAGTGCAGCCGGGGAGGGATCTGGAGGGGGCTGGGACCGGAGACTTCCACACACGAGTAGAACGGCAGCAGTGGGGGGAGGGGCGCAATATCTGGCCTTGCGTGGGACTGAAGTTCCCGGGCCTGACCTTAGCGCGGTTGGTGGTGGGCTGGGGGATGGGGGTAGCGAAGTGATAGCCTTTTTGAGAACTCACGTTCAGAGAATCTCACCAGTTCACCTATGCCATAGCCATCTTGCCCCGTCTCCCTTTAATGTTTTTTTTATATGCCTTTAGTCCTTGAGATAAGAAAAAACTCTCTGAAGTAGTGGAGACCAGTATTTGTCTCGTATATTTTGAATAGTTAAAATAGTAAAAATGAAGCAGTAATTATCAATCTATAAAAAAAATTTGAAATAGAATAACTCAGCTTCTTCAAGACTATGTTTTTCAAATATGCATTTTTTTTTAATGTGAAAAGTTGGAGGAAACATTCGTTTTCTACGGCCTGCCATAACACTGCTTTTCTGAATCTGCCCTTACTCAGACAAATTTAAAGACTCTAGAACTTTGTTCAGACTACTGTTATACTTCTTATATTCAATAGTAGTTAGTTATTTTTATTGATTATATTAAAAGAAGTCACCTTTACTGACTGTTTAATATGCGCCAAACCATTGTTCTTTACGTATATTCTTACATTTATTTATCCTCACAATAACTCATAGATACTGTTGATAGGCTCTATGGGATGCATCAGTGGACAAAATACAAAGACCTCAGGTCTTTATATTGTTATTAATATTTCTGTACCATTTTGTTTTTATCGTTAATATTCTATTCTCTGGTTACTCTTGAAGTTGAACACCTTTTTGTATATTTGTTAGTCATTTAGACTTTTTACATGAAGTTGCAGACCTAGTCTTTTTTTTTTTTTTTTTTTTGAGTTGGAGTCTTTGTTACCCAGATTGTTATTCTTTCACTGGCTAGAAACACTCATCTTTCCCCACCACAATCCTACCTGTCTTTAATATCTCCACCTGCTGGGCTCCAGCGATCCTTCCGCCTCAGCCTTCCAGTAGCTGGAACTACAGGCGCGCGCTACCACGCCGGGCTAATTTTTTGATTTATTGTAGAGATGAGGTCTCGCCAAGTGGCCCAGGCGGGTCTCGACCCCGCGGGCTCAGGCGATCCACTCACCTCGGCCTCCCAAAGCGTGGGATTAGCTGAGCCACCGAGCCCAGCTTGCAGACCTAGTCTTTTGCCCATTTTTCTTTTGGGTTGTCTTTGTATTATTAATTTGAAGGAATTCTACCTGTGTATTTGGATATGTGTCCTTTGTTGAACTGCCATTCAGTGGCAGTTCAAGGTGAGATATCAAAGATAGGTAGGGTTGTGGTGGGGAAAGATGAGTGTTTCCAGCCAGTGAAAGAATGACAAAGTTACAAGGGAAGAAAACATAATTCACACATGAAACAAGTCGAAAGTTTGACTGGACTGAGGGGTTCTTACAGTGAACCAAAGGAAGGTAAAACTAGAAAGCTCAAATATGTAAGTGCCAGTAAAGCTCTAGAATATGTCAAGAGGATACTTCACCAGAGCATTTTCTTTAAATCAATTCTTACCTCCCTTCGATACAAAAACAAGTAAGGCAGGACAGCCTGAAAGAAACCTTAAGGACCGTTTTGCCTCTCTGAGTAGGTAGCTGGCTCTAGGCTTTCCTTCCTCTGCTAGAGAATGACTCTTCCTTTATTGAAATGGCCCTAGAGTCATTGCCTGCTGAAAAGGTATATTTTAGAGCTGGAAACGAGGGGCGAAGCCTAGAGGAGCTTCCCTTATCTTGTCTATGAAGAGCACCATAAAGTTAGAGCACCTTCATGCAGCTGCCCTTGCTGACCTAGTGTTTCATTATAGAGTCATCCATTGAAGGTTGATGCTTCAATTTCCTAAGACTTGGTGTATATTTCCTTAAAGAACTTGAAGGCCAATGACTGAAGGGCTTTTTGGTTTTGGCATCCCTTCAGTCTTGACCTCTATCCTGCTATGTCTGTGCCAATGTGAAATGTATCCATTCTGTTCCCTAGGGAGATTATTCTAGCTTTTTAAAAGTTTTTGCTGAATCTAATGGATTTACCTTTCTCAATACCAATCAGACAAAAACATTTCTGTGATTTGACTTCTTATTTCTGTATCCATTAGAATTTGTTTTGACTGCAAGTGCCTAATAGTAGTAGTAGTAGTAGTAGTAGTAGTAGTAGTAGTGGTAGTAATAATGATGATGGCTTAGAAGATAGAACTTTTGTTTTTATCCCATGTAGACAGAGGCAGTCCAGAGGTGCTAAGGCAATTTCATGATCATCTGGAACAGTCTCCCTTCATGTCATTGTGACTCCTCCTTTATCCAAGAGGGCAAGCAGGAAAGAGGATTGGAAAAGGAAGACCTTCCTCCTAGCCCCTGAAGGATTCTCAGAAGTCCCAATACCACCCTGGTTATGTCCTATATGCCAACACTTTGCATAACCATACTGAAGTCTAAGGGAGGCTTGGAAATACATGTCTGGCTAAAAACAGGAATTTCTGATTCTGTAGAAGAGAAGAAGAATGGATATTGGAGATGCCATTGATCTCTGCCACTTAAATATTTTTCTGTTGTGACTTAAATATTTTCCTGAGATGTTTAAGGAGAAAGACTTAGAATAATATAGGTATATACACAATTTAAAATAGATTCTTTTATTTTTTAGATTGGAAAATAAAATTATTTAGAAAATAAATTAGAAAAAGAGAGAGAGAGAGGAGATTCACCTCCCCAAGTTAGGGAAGGGGGCCAAAGTCAGGAAACATGGTGTCAGTTGGAGCTCAAAGATCACATGGCCGCACCAGAGTCCAGTAAGGCAATGGCCTAAAGTAGAGTCATATCAGAATTAGCTTATATCTTTAGATTCTGTCATTCTGAATTTTTGGCTCTTATTTTAAAAATTTTACATTGGTCTAGAAGGGTAGATATTAACTAACATTGAATAATTTATTGTTTTTGTTAATTTTAGAAGTTTGACTTCTTCCCTAAACATTTATCCTAAGGTTTCATTAAAATGTTAAGTATAGCAAATGCCAATGAGTATTACAAATGTAAAATATGTAGGAGGAAATGTGTCTCTTATCTTTATAGAAGTTAAATATATTAAACCACAATTAAAGTAATCCATAGAAGAAATTTCAGCAATAGATAATATAAAAGCTATTGGTTAGAATGAATTCAAATATATGGAAATTAAATGAAAATCTAGAATCATTTTTAGTGCACTGAAAATTAGCTGACATAGTGAGCAGCAGATATAATCCCATAGACACCGCATTTTTTTAAGTTCTATTCTTCACGGTAGCGCTTGAAGAAAATGTAGTACTTAACATAATTATTCTCATTATTAAGAATGATTTCCTTTTAAAACCCAATGTGTAACACTATATGTGATACTCATTTTTTTCTTCATAGGCAAGAAGTTTGATAGCTGTAGGACTGGGTGTTGCAGCTCTTGCATTTGCAGGTAAGATAAAGAACACATATTGGCAGATAGTAGGAGAAAGATTTCCAAATAGCTTCTACAGTGATTTTGGTTTTGGTTTTCAGACATTATACATTTTATATGTTATAAATTCTTTCTACCATTTATCGTTACAGAACATTTGCCAGTGTAGCAAAATCTAGATAAACTTTACAGTGAAGAAAATTAATGATACAAAAGCTAGGAAGCTAGCTTCAATGACAGTTGATATTCCAAGCATTTTTTAAAGTTTGACCTGTAGTGTACTATAAAGATAAATTTTTAAATTTTATTCTCCCATATTTATTTTTTTCTTGATAAGTTTACACATTTCAAGCTATCAGTTCTTTCTTTTGAGCATAGTTGTTCCTTGTGTATTTATTAATCTTTTAACATGTTGGTATAATTTCTTTGATAAACCCAAAAGAATTTCTTTCACTGCCAAAATTACCTTTTTAGAAAGAACAGTTATACAGATTTAAAGTGAAATTGCTATCTGATGTTATCATTAACTCATTATAGTTTTAAATTGCATAGCTATTTCCTAATTAAATGTTAATCTGAGAGTATTTCCTTGTTGATAAAGATGTACTTTTTTGTTTTGGCATTTATGTGTCTAAATTCTGTGGATTTGATCTTGTTAATTGGCTCTTCTTTTGAGGTGAAACTGCATTCCATTGTGGTTATATGGAGTTTAGTAAGATCCAGTTGAAAAATAAGAAAGGGGTTTTATTTTGTTTTGCTTGTTACTTAATATAATTATCATTTAAAGCACTTTCAATCAGAACTTTCAAATCAAGATCAGTGGTTCAGAATCTCATGATCGTTTTGTCATCAGGGCCTTGTGTCTCAATTATATAAGTTACAGTTAACTAATTTCTGAGGTTTCATGAGAAGAATATCTTGTCTCAAAAAGAATACTGACAAACTTGCCCATAAACATAAAAAAATTTTAGTATAATATTAATTAATAGGTAGATCTCTTCCAGAGCTTAATATAACTGGATAATAGCATTTAGAAGAAAATAGACTTGTTAAAACTAGGTCTTCCAGTTTATGGTAAGGTAAACCTCCAGATGTCATTATTGAAGCCTTTAACCACTTTTTAACCGAGACTGGAAGTCAGTCACTGTGCCAGAATGTGGTTTTGAAGAATTTCGAGGTATTGCAAAAGCTACATTTTATTCTATTATGGAATCAAAGAAAGATGACATCTAGATGATGAGATGCAGGCAAATTAGGGAATCAGCTTCATTTAATTTCACTTTATCTAATGTTCTCCTTGATCTCAAGAGCGTTTTATCTCTTATATAGACTGCCAACTTCATATTTTCCCATTTCTGGCATCCTGTCTTTCACTGTAACATGTTGTTTGCACAGGAATAACAGTATATTTGGACAGGTGAATTTTTCAAAAAGATCTGGGTACACAATAGAAGTCTTGATCTGCAAATAAGCTTATAGTTAGAAGTTGAATTGAAGTCCAAAGTGTCATATACTGATTTTCTAGCAAGGCTTTTGGAGAAAACTAAACTAGTAGAAGACACAGTCTGATTGGGATGTAAAAGGTAAATTAGCCAGATAATATTTTGTTATTTGATGCCCTTAAAATAATTTAGAACCTGTTTTGATATTGATTATTAGTTGTTAAGACTCAGGAGAATTTTGATTAATTAGATTGCCTAAGTAAGGAAAGAATTAAAATAAAAAGTTTTGAGAGAAAGTAGTCATCCTCAGACAAACTGATAATTAGCATCCTTGGTAAATATTTCATATGTAATTGCTTTTTTACTTTAACAGTAACTCCATTAAAATCACTTCTATGTGGTATAGATCAGAAATAGTATTTGTGATTATCATCGTGAAGAGCAATACAATGAATCATTTTGTATTATAAGTATCTTTTATACATAAAAAGACCTTATAGTTTGTTGTAGAAAGAGTACTAGGGTATTATTTTTGTGGTCTATAACATATAAATGTAAGACGTTATGCATAAATGTTGAAAATTTCTAATTTTATAATCATGAACTAGAACTTAATTTAATAGCTATGATGATGGTATTGAAATGAAATTTTGTCTTCCATTCAGTTAGAAATTTGAAAAAATATGACTGTCTTTCTGATACATTTTGAAATATTAAAATAACATATTTAAATAATAAGTTCTATGGCAAGCAACTTGAAGGTATTGATTAACTTTGATTATAGACAATAAATATGCTTTTATTCGTTTTACTATTTAGGTCGCTATGCATTTCAGATCTGGAAACCTCTGGAACAAGTAATTACAGAAACTGCAAAGAAGATTTCAACTCCTGTAAGTTAAACATGGCTCAGGTCCCCTCCCACTGTGGGAGCTTTTCTGTCTTCTTGATAAATCCTACTTTCAAAAAAAAAAAACAAACTTATTTTGATTTTTATTTCTGTGACATATTTGAAAGTAACTCCGAATATGCCTTAGATTTTTCAGTGTTTAGAAATATACTTCATTATATTATTGGTGAGTTGGTCTAATTTACTGACTTAACTTTTTTTAAGTTTCTTGGTCACTTGGTTTTTATATCTATACTTATTCCTGACTTTGACATCTAATTATTATACTCTGTTTAGTAGTATTACATCAACTTTGAGGTAACTTATTTTCCCTGTTTAATTACTGTTCAGTTATTTAATATTTAGTGTTTGTCATATATAAACCCCTGTACCAGGAGCTTGGGATAGATGGTGAGCAAAACAGTTCCTTGGGTACCGAGATAATCCAAGTTCCTGCAGTTCCTGCCCTTGATGTAGCTTCCTAAAGAGTTTATGTAATCTTGACATTTGAAACTGGTTCCCTTATACCACCACATCTGGCCAAACAAAAAAATCACAGGATTCCAGCCATGAAATCCTGTAGAACTTATTATACATTCTTTGACCAGCATTATAGCTACTCTGGTGAGCTGAATATAAATGAAAAATTAATGATAGTACATATCCAAAAAGTGACAGTATGAACTGGTTTCTGACCACTGAAGACAATACAAAGAAAACTCACTGAAGCACTGTAGCATAAATATTGACTTTTGGGAAGTAGAAGCAGATCTGGGATAGATCAGCTTGGCTTGCAGCAATTTGAAAATGAACGGCTTGTTTTAGTAAAGGCATTACAGGCTTGTGAGGCTTAGTTACTCACGGACAGTGACAGCACTTTTAAGGATGACATACTGACAAATAATTAAACTCAGCTTCAAAAGAACTGCAGGTTATTTTGCAGTCTGTAAATACTTGTCTGTGATTAGAGAAAACATATGTGTATTTTCTGTTTTCTTATTTAAGTTTTATTTGGCTAAAGTGTCGCTAGGTATTCAACATTCACTGACTACATGTCAGACATTATTGCAGGCAGTGGGATATAGTTATGGACCAGACAGAGACATTGCCCTCTAGGAGCTCACATTTTTGTGGAGAGAGAGATAATAAACAAATGAAATAAGATATACAATATCTAGAAGTGTCAAGTGTTTTTAAGAAAACCAAATCAGAGTAAATAGCTAAAGAAAAATAGCAGAGAGGAATCTTTTCATGAGATAGGCCAGGCAAGGCCTCTGTGAGAAGACGAAGCCATGTGAGTATCTGAAAAAAGAGCTTTCTGTGTCGTGGGATCACTGCAAAGGTCCCAAGGTGAATTTGAGTTTAGCAGCAAAAGTAACTCCAATGAGTATATGAAGGGAATAGTGGTAGCTTAGACCTAGATCTCTTAGGGCCCAATAGACTGTGAAGGAAAAAAACCCTGCAAATTTTACTTTAAGTGTGATGGAAAGCCTTTGGAAGTTCTTGAGCAGGTGGGGCAGTGTGATTTGCATTTTAAGTTATCACTCTGCCTGCTGCATGGAGTATAGACTAGAGTGAGCCAGAGTAGAAGCTGAACCACTTAAGAGGGTACTGAGATAATCCAAGTGATAGATGATAGTGGCTTGAAACAGAGTAATAGAGAAACAGTACTGGAATCAGTGACATAGTTCTTTAAATGAATACTATTTATGCCTTTCCATATATTTATAAATAATAAATGGAGAGAATTTCAGAAATCATTTCTCTTCTATTCTGGTAATCTTCAATAGATCTATGTGTACTATAAATAGAAAACTCTCAAGCTTTGTGGAACTGCATTATTAAACGTTGTAAAGGAAGGGAGAGCAAGAAAAGGGGAGAATTTTCACTGCTTGGTAGAGGCTCACAGATAAGGCAGGGTCGTTCAAGAGATTGTAAGGGATATGTTCATGTAAGCACTTTCTTCAGATGCACACGTGGCCTGCTCCCTCATCTCTGGCCATGTCTGGCCTATCTAAGGTAAAGAGTTTGAGCCTGGTACCTGCTTTTCTTAAAGGAGAGGGAAATGCCTTGACCCCTCTCCCCTATCTCCCCTGCCTCATAGGCCACAAAGTAAGAAATGTAGTTTTTGATAAATCTGGCTCCTTCTTGTTTTTCACAAAGTACTACTCTTACAGTTTGCAGTGATACATCTTAGAATATCTTTGTTATTATCAACATTATAATTATACTTCTGTGAAGATAGAAGTATTTTATTTATTTACCTACTTATTTATTTATTATAGACAAGGTCTTGCTCTGTTGTCCAGGTTGGAATACAGTGGCACATTCACAGCTTACTATACCCTTCAATTCCTAGGCTCAGGCGATCCTCCTGCCTCAGCCTCCCAAGTAGCTAGAACTAACGATGCACACCACCACCATCTGGCAAACTTTTAAAATTTTTTGTAGACCCAGGGTCTCCCTATGTTGCCAGCTGGTCTCAAACTCCTAGCCTCATGTGCTCCTCTTGCCTTAGCCTCTCAAAGCACTGGGATTACAGATGTGAGCCATTGTACCTGGCCAATACAAATATCTTTTAAACAGTTAAAAAAATCATAATTCCAAGGAAACTGAGAAATGAAATATGTGTATACTTTCTCTTGGCATTAATGAATCCCAAATGTCAAACTTCATAAACACAGTGTTTTAATTTTGTATATATTATTAATTGTTGAACCACATAGTGTTACTAAAAAAGATAGAAACTGTAATCATGTCACTAAATATCTGTTGTTCAAAGGAGAATGTCCAAGGCTCAAGTTCCAACTAGTTCTCTTTTCATTGTTTTTTAAACTTTGCTTCCTCTAAGTTTTAACATCTTTTTCTTAAAACTCATCGTTCTCTTTCTCATACTTTTTTTTTTCATTTTGCTGGCATACTGCTCACAGTAATTTTTTCATATGGAATGTTTAATTCTTTTCTGTTAGTTTGTTTCTTTTGTTCTCACTGTTAATTATCAATTACCTGCTAGCTCCCTGAAATCTGGTAGAGCCAGTGTTACATAAGTACAGAAATCTCTGCTGAGAATAAACCTTAGTACCTACACTCCTGCATTCTTGCACACTCACAGCCAGATTTTCTTATTCTTACTCCACTGTAGACAACCCATTGTTTTGGTTTTCTTTTGTTGTTTGTGTTTTAGGGTTTTACGTTTTGGTGGTGTGTGTGCTTTAGCTCTGAGTGTTTTTAGGATTTTCTCTTTGTTATTGATATCCTGAAATTTTGTAAGAATTCTTAGTGAGCCATAACTTATTTGAAAACTGTCTTTTGTTCTATAAGATTTTCTCACATTTTTTCTCTAGTTATAATTTTTTTCCATTGTCTTTTACCAACTTTTAGAATTCTTATCAGAAATGTATTGGACCTCTAAGTCTATCTTCTATGTCTCTACCATTTTTTCTCTTATTTTTCGTCTCCTTATCTTTTTTTGCTCTGTATTCTATAGTATTTCCACAGCTTATTTTCTAGATCACAAGGCTGGTCTTTAGCAATTCCATTTTGTTATTATTCTATCCACTGAATTCTTTATGTAAGTAATTTTTTAACTTCCAAGAATTCTTTGTTCATTTTTCATTCAGCACCCCCATTTTTTATGGATGCAATATCCTTTTGAATATCTTTAAAGATTCTAATTAGAATTTTGCCAATTTTTTTTTCTGCTTTCAATTTATCTCCTTTCTCCAAAACCAGTTGTTATTTGTTCATCTTGATTCTTTTTTCCCCCATGATATTGGGCTTGTTCAAATATCTGATGATCCTTGATTGTTGGTTTATACTTATGATGACTAAATTAATTCATGTGAGTCATGTCTGGACTTTTCTCAGCATTTTGGTGGACTTCCTTCAATAGCTTAATTGAATGAAAGAGTCGACAGTGGGCTGTAAATACACAGGCGGGTTTGTCAACTGGCATCCCTCAAAGCAAGGAGACCAGAGGCAGGCTTGGGACCTCCAGAGTCCAGGAGAGGTTGAGCACCATGTATATTTTACTCCTTGGCATCACTGCCTACCTCCCTGGTCTTCTGGGTTCTGAAATGGGATCTGATGATACTCCCCTTTGCTTCTTTTGGAATCTACCACCCAGAGTTATATGTATATAAGAGTAAGAGGCATATAGTTCTCTTTCTCAGTGTGAGGTCATAAGTGACAGGAGCCAGGTCCCTTATACTCCGTGTTGGTAGAGTAGGAATGGTCAATCTCTGCTGTTCTGTTTTAATAAGTTACCCTGCTAATATTTTTTGTATTTGTTGACCCTGAATTTAGTGCCTTCTTTGTGGTTTCCTGAAAAAAAATTTCTTTCCTCTTGTGTTTGAGGTTGCTGGGATTTCTCTATACGTACACTTTTACCTATTGTTCAATCTTTCAGTATTTTTTTCAACTTTCTAGTTTGCTACTTGTTTTCTAGGCCTGTTATGGATTTTTCTTGTTTAAAATATACCTTTCTCAATTCAAAGGCACTTTGGAAAGCAATAAATCTTTAAAATTCAGTCTGCTCTTTTGACCCGGTACCTTTTTTGTTGGGTTTTGTTTTTTGTTTTTTCTTTTTTTGAGTCAGAGTCTCACTTTGTTACCCAGGCTGGTGTGCAGTGGCATGGATCACTGCTCACCATAGCCTCAACATCCTGGATTCTAGTAATCCTCCCACCTCAGTCTCCTGAGTAATTGGGACCATAGGTGCCTGCCACCATGCCTAGCTAATTTTTGTTTGTCTTTTTGTAGATATGATATCTCGCTATGTTGCCCAGGCTGATCTCGAGCTCCTGAACTCAAGCAGTCCTCCCCTTTCCGTCTCCCAAAGTATAGAATTACAGGCATGAGCCACTGCACTCAGCTTTCCTTTTGCTTTTTGATGTAGTAATATATATTATTGACTGAGCTAATCTCTGATTACCACTAATATTTTTCCTGGGGAAGAAAATTCAAGTCATTCATCTTTTTTTTGTTTTGCTCTGTTTTTGAGAT